CATAAATCTTAAATCCATTTTCACCAGTTGAATGCGTTCCTTTCAATTGGTAGGCAGACAACTGAGCATAGCCATCCAGTTCTATTATTTATATCACATTGCTTCTGTAGTGGTGTGACTGTTTGTTTATAACATTGTGACCTATTATTTCTTCCATTTACAACATCGATACCATCAGTCAAAACAAACCATATACGTTGACAGCTATGCGTGCATTGTATCGTGTTCATGGAAGGCCTTATGCAGGTACCTTAGAGTAGACTGCATCGAGTCAACAGCTAGAAATGACAATAAATAATAAATTTCCCGCTACAAATAAGGGATTTGAAGCCTCTGGAATAATTGCTTTCCAGTGATCCTTGCTAAACAGATAGCAGATCGATTCAGCGATAAAAACATTCGAAAATCCACTTGGAGTATTAGATTCCGTGGACACATGAAATGCATTCCCATGTGGGAAAAAACAGGTGCCATGTTAAATTAATAGAAAATGTTTTGATGCAATTAGGTTTACGCATGTGTAAATGTATTAAATTAGGTTTCGGGGAGCTAATAACGTGTTTCCATCCCAAAAATGATATCAAACGTAACGAATTTCATTTCGTTCTACATACCACCCCGTTAGTCTGGTATCATAGGTAATATGATTCTTTGTCGCAGTTATGATGGCGCAAATAAACATTAACGCAAGGGACTTTTACCTGTGAGGCTACCAGTAAGCCAAAGGTATATGCTATGAAATTACGCAATTAATAGATTTATCCACGAGAGAATTTAAATCGCATGCACTACGACCATATTTTAATAATCATGACGTTCTCTTGGACTGGCAAAACTGCGCATTGCGCTGGCGTGATTGCTGGACATACTAAGTAAACTGCTGAGTCACAACTCCAATAGTGACTTATGTGACAGTCTGTCTGTACTCAGAATATAAGACCATGTAAATCGTATGAAACTAACTTCTGCAGGACAGTTTTCTTGTATGACCTTTGTTCATTACAGACTAGAACGAGAATATAAAAAAGAGAAAAAAACATATAACGTTATGAGTTTACTTAAAGGCCTCATGGATTTTCACTTCTGTGATGTCAACTTTATGTGTAAGTGCAGCTCAGTCAGTATAGTGACTGGGCGAATGAGGTTCGATCTCCGACGGGGCATAGGATGTTTCCTCTGACCTCTGCGTCCAGATCGGTTCTGGGGCCCACCCTATATCCTATCCAATGGGTACCAGTCTTTTCCCTGGGATAAAGCGCGGCCGGGGCGTGATGCTGACCACTAATCCCCCATCTAGTGGCGAGATCAAGAATGAGTAGGAGCTATACCATTTCTCCTCCCAAGCGCCTACATGGCGTATAGTGGAACAGCTTTCCTTTACTGATGTCAAATTTACCATTTTTTTCCCACGTAATCCTGTAGAGTGGATTACCTTATGTTCATGTATAAAATGACAGTGTAAATAATTTATAGTTCAGTGAACCGAACAAATGTTTTAAATTTCCTTATACAATAATTCATTCCTTTTTAAATTCTAGATTGTGATCGTTACGCATCGGCCTCCAGCCAATTTCCCAAAACCTGTCACTAAGAGAAACGTTCAATACGACATTATGACGGTTCATGTTATGAAATATTTTCTATCCAGTAGTCATAAATCGTAAGCCTACAAGGTTGCCAAAACGATTAGTAAGTTGCATTACATGTTATGAGTTAGTATCACTATTTCCGTTTCGAGTACTTACTTTTCGTCTGACGGTGAGCTGCATGGTACTTCCGACTGTCATCAGGCGTAACGAAACCTGTAAGAAAGAAGAACGGGTTTGTTATAACGGTTACTCCATGGAATTTTACGCATTCCTGTGCATTTTTTGAACAAAGCATGCAGATTGAACGAACAAATCTTTTAGACCATGAACATTAACCGTGCGGGGCAGGACAATGAAGAAGAAGAAGACAGGTAATAAGCATAAGAAAGGAAAGACAGAAGAGAAAAATAAGGAGGATTATAAAAAATCAAAAGGAAATGGAGTTCATAAAGAATACAGTGAGAAGAAAGGAAATAAGAACGATGATGGCACGGTTAGCAACAAGCAGTGATTCATAACCAGAAGGCCATATTCTGATTTTCGGCACGGATGCCAACTGATCAGAGATTCTGTTTGGTTTTCCTCAGCCATTCTAGTTAAGTGATGCCATAACATTTCCATAATAAAATTTAAAATTTATATTCAATAAACTCAGCATCAATCATCTGCAGCCTACTATACGAACAGTGCCATCTACATTTATCATTGTTGGGCCTACCGATTTTTGCGCAAATATGTTTCGGCTACACAGGCCATTATCACTGTCTACTCATATACAGTGTGTCCCAGAAAGACCTATACACATCTTCAATGAATAAAATGAAGATAATTTAATAAACTAAACCATTACATATATCAGCATTGGTACTTTGTGAATTAGCGAATCTAGTGTAGCACATATGGCAACGGTGAACAATTGACTGACAAGCGGCCACCAAAGTTGCAAACGTGTATGAATACTTTTGGGACAATCTGTATATAAAGTTCACTCATTAGCCTCACAATTATACCTTTCCCTATTTAAATGACGTAAAACAAATATTAATATGTTAATAATTTATATTTAAATATATAAAACCACAAATCAAAACTGCTGTATGATTACCTTATACATAAGGTGTCCCAAAAATGTATACACACAAGATTAATATTCCGTATAAATTTGTATACAACTTTTTTGGGACACTCTGTATTTAATTGTTTTGACAAGGGTTGTAAAATAATCTAAGAATCTGTCCTACAAATATTAAACTAAATCTTCCACCAAAAGAAAACAGACAAATCTTTTAATCTTACTAATAATCTTTTTCAAATCAGATCAACATCGCCGTGGTCACAGCATTGGGTGTGAAATATCTGCTGCATGTGTTGATTTATAGCGGTCAG